TAAATATAAATTCAGTTACAAAACAGCTATACTGAAATACATTGTAAGACAACCCTACCCTTCGTATTGAGGTTACAGAACAAATTTCTGCTTAAGGACAATGTCTTCATATTCCTATAATACTTTTAGTTAGCATTCAGCTGGCAAGAGTGACGAGGCATAAAATGGATGTTTCCCATCCCAGAATAACCTTGCATATTATACTTTCTTAAATCATTAACTTCTTAGAACAGCTGTTGCCTTTAAGTCTTGCATTTTGTTTGGTATATCTATATGGTTCATCATCAAGAGGAAACCTTTAAAAACATCTGGAAGTAAATCGGTTTCCAGGGAAATGGAGTTTGGCGCATCCACCACTGATGATGTCACATGGGGTGAGAACGTGCTCAAGTTAAAAATCGTGACTTGTCACCTCAGAGTTTGGGATGAGCAAGCTTTTACATGTTCCCATGGATTTTTTTGTGCAAACCTCAAGGAAAACAATTTCAACACAAAGTTAGCTGACGCATGAAGTAGTTTTGTAGTGGAAGTAGGAGTATATCTTCAGGCAGACCTAGGTCTTAATGCATTTTCATGTCCAAACAGTTTTAGCCCCCTTCCAGTCCATTTCATCACAACTGAAGCCTCCCACAGTATCTGCATTTAGTTCTCTGAACAGAGGGGAAAATTGCACAATACCACCTTCCTACAGAAGGGATAGGGAGCCTGAGAGCCGCTCTTCTGCCCGATTACCAGAGCACTGTAGCTGAGAAATTAACCCACAGGATTCTTAACCTGCACAGGCACTCTATATTTAGTTCCCGCTCAGCTGACACATCTTGCGTGTACACATGTATCTAAACAACAGTATAGTGAACACACAAACACTTCATGCCTAGATAAAGGTTTGCTGTGTGCAGAAGACGGAAGTCTGATCACGTAAGTCAGCTTTATCGACATAATGGGGCATGGCGAGCACAAGTAACAATATATTCCCCCCATGAAGCATTATAACTGCTAGGCTCAGATGAACAATAACTTGGATACTTCCAGGTCAACGAGACCCTCAGGTGTCATATTCCTAGAAAAGGCAAACAGTCACCACTGACTGCAATGCTTTATGAAGGCAAAGAGTCAAACAGCAGGGAAAAGATTTCTGGCTATTGCCCTGCCAGGTCAGAGGACTGTTTGGCTGAACCACGGTGTCTATGGTGAGGTCCAGGTATAAGCACCTATTTGCCAGAAATTTAAGGTCTTGGTTCCAGGAAAGTCTCAGTTTTCTGCTCTGGAAGCAACCAGCTTCAGCTATAGCCAATCTACTGTTTTAAATACCGTGCCACAGTACTGCATTTGCACTGGAGACAACCACTGATGCTGAAAGACCCTGAAGTGATGTCACCCGGCTGCAAGTGACATCTCCAGCAGAACTACAACCGTTCCAGCAGAACTACTTACATCACTAGGAGATTCTGAGAAAAGCACTACCTGCGCCTGTTTTCAAAAAGCATAAAGCGATCAATATTCATTATGAAACTTAATTTATTATAAAATTTCAACATCCTGTAACCTCAACAAGGTACCTAATTTAAAAATTCATTTTAAGTCTTCATTGTTTTCTCTGTTACTTGCAAAAAAAAAAATATTACAACAGTTGAAGAGTCCATGATGATGGTGTTAATCTGCATGCTAGGACGCAGTTTTGATTAACACACATTCTTCAGCTGACTGTGATATGTTCTGCTAGAGTATATCCTGTAAGCAAAGAAATTCACACAAATCATGTATGAAAGAGTGCTATTTAAAGCCACACCACATCTTTATTTAATGCCCAAAAGCTGGATGCTGCTAGCCAACTAGTAGCCTAGGAGGATTTATCGATTGGCACCCGATCACAAGCTATGACAGTACAACAAGAAGCAGAGCAAGCAAATTAGTTTGTACAGCTATGGGGAAGATGCTGCAGCTGCTAATTAGGCAAAAATAGACCGACAGAATGCCCCACAACTAATTACATCAAAGGTGATTCAATTTTTATTAAGAAAAAGCTCTGTTCAAGCCTTTAGCAGGAGCACTTGCATTGAGACCCAAATACACCCAAATCCACCCAAATCCAAGTACAGACATGAGGTTAGGAAACTCTACAGCTCTGGTCACTGCTCACTTGGCATTGAAAAGCTTTGAGACTGACTACTGGGCCAGGACAAGACTTGCTTTCATGTGCAAGTAATCTTAAGAGCAATAACACTGGTTAATTGTAGCTTATACAGTGCTTTGCACTGTGGTTCTTACCATCTCTATGCATCTAGATTCATTTTTCTTAAGACATAATAGTCCAGTGGTTAGCTATTACTAACAGTTTACACTGAAAGGGGTTCTCAGATGTTCTGAAGTACCTCAGTGGTGTTCTTACGTACCAACGGAGCCTTAGGGTTCACAGACAAGTTCAAAAAGCTTACTTTAACACTGCAAAAGCAGTGTAGTTCCGCAGATCAGCTCTAGTAGTGTTACAGACTATTTTCCACATCTGTGTTAGGAAATAGCTCTGGAAAATCGAGAGGAACAGTGTGAAGACTCTGAATACTGAGCAAGAACAGTTTTGCTCCACATCGTGAAGACTTGGCTAAACATTACCAGTTGCTGCACCAAATCAGACTGGAAAGAATCTGCTCCAGCAGCCCATTCTACCAAACATTTCAATGGTCAGTACAAAAGCCTCTCAGCACATGGGTACAGAATGGACTTAACATAGTTTCTTTGCTGATTCCTACAGAAAAATCTTGCTACAAATTTCTTTAATAAATATCCTTTATACAGTTTGATGTCAAGCCTTGCAACATTCAATTGCTTCCTGTTACAGCAAGTTCCAACAGTCCACTTTTGTAACAAAGTGGCAATGCATAACGCAACTAAAAGAGTGAAATTCAAGTATCATAAAAGAAAGTATTTTTAAACTACATAGATCATCTAATAATATTTCTCTCTTCAACCAGTGCAATATTTTGTTTGTTTTGGCCAGTGTTCCAGTTCTCAACTCAACTCTTGCAGCAGCCAGCTGAGATATGTTATTTGAGTAGCATGAGCTCTGAAGCATTAATAGTTAAAAGCAACTCACCTCAAACTTCCAATCTGCCAATATGTCAAATTTTAAACTCAAGAAACAGTTATCATAACTAGGAGTCACTTGTACACATTACTGAAATTCCAGCTTATTTAAAGTTTAATTCAGTTGAAGTTAAGTTAGTATCCAGCTTAAACAAGCGGCACACAAGATGATTAAGAAGTCTGTCTTTCACTAGGCCCAGCAATTTTTGGCTAACCCATTTTTTACATATCCCTGAGACTAGGAGCAACTTAAAAACTATGATCTGTCACACTCAAGTAACTAAAAGCCCTGTACTGCAGAAGCACCTTACACATACTCTTATAAGCAGGATGCAGATACTTGTGTAAACCTCTCTGGAAAAGACCCTGCTACTCTGTGACTGTAATAGCATCACTGACATACCACATCGCCACGGCTGCTTGGGAGGAGTAGTGCATCTTAAATTCCTCACCCAAATCAAATTGGTATTTATCGCTAAGGGAGCTTGCTTTGTTACCAAAGACAACAATTCAAAACCATAACCCATGAAACAAAAAGTTAGATAATTTCACCAGTGTTGAAAGTTTGACAACCTCACAGGCCTCTCTAGTTGGCCTGGAAAAAGGACGAGCTCTAAATAGAAGTCTCCATGTCAAGATGCTTACCAAAGCATGAAGAGACTACAGATTACAACTCTAGTGCGACCAGAACATACTGTGTTGACCAAACTAGAAGCAGCTGTAACATGTTTCTTGAAGTGTTCTTGTAACACTTCAAATATAAACCCATGTTAATTGCCCTCCGCCCCAAAAAGCAGCTACTCGTGAGGCAGCCCTGAACACTCAGCATGCTTCAAAAAGGACTCTAGAAATAGTCCTTCACAGGTGAAAGTGCTTGGTAATTAGTAATTCAGTATTTAGTAATTCCCTCTATATGGAAGAAAGCTATAATCTGTGTTCTACATTTGTTAAAATCAAGGCTACCTTGAAGGGATAGTTTGCAGTGGCCACGCACTGACAATCAAATGTGAACAGCAGATTTTATGAGTGACATAATTACTATTGCCCAGATGCACAGGACCTACCATACCTTAGACCCTTATCCAAGCCTTTCCTATTATTGAATTTCCATTTAATACTTGCTTCACCAACCTACAGGAAATGCATTTTAATATTAAGAAAATTAAATCTTAGAGCACTTAAGCAAACTCACACCTCAAGGGTCAAAGCTCCAGCAATTATATATCCTGTGTCATTCAATTTAATTTATACATCTGCTTGAACACTGCACATTCAGATATTAAGCATTAGCTGGTACTAGTATTTGACCTTCAACAACACACTAAAGCTGGTTGCTGTAATATAGGAAAAGGCTTGCAAAGTGATTATCTCAGGAAAGCCTTTGTTTAATCTAATTAGTTCAGCGAAGACTGGACAGATCTACATACCAAGAGGTTGCAGTGATAAAAACTGCTCCCATGTTTCAGTTGTCATGCCATTTTAATCTGTTTCCAAAAAAATGGCTTTTAAGATACTGAAAAACATGCCTTTGCATACTTTAGTGTGAAACCCACAGCACTGGCTATGTTCCACAGCTTCAAGCCATCACATGACATTTTTCCCTAGGGGGGGAAAAAAGTTGTCTCTAATATTATAACGGAAAGTAATTGTAACTGAGAAACCAGTCTGGAAGTCACACCGAAAAAGTCTGAGGTATTCTGCTCTGGAGGGTCAGTTTGCTTACTTTAAGAGAGAGACCCTCATACCTACTTGAAAGGCTACAGAAACTCACCATCTGTTTCACAAAAAACATGAATAATAAACCAGAAAGTTCACATAGAACAGTTTGTCTGCA